GGCGGCAGCTCTCCGGGTTTTCCCGGCAGCTCCAAGGGGCCGGCGGGAGGTGGGGCCTGGACGGGGTAGGACGTCCCTATAGCGCAGGACTTTCTCAACCACGTCGCTGGCGGTCTTAGTATTGTTTGCGGGAATGGGCGTGGAAGATGGGAACTTATGGACTGAGGCTTGAAAATGGGCCCAAGAGGCCGAGTTCCGCCCTTTTTTAAGAACGATCAATCGGGAGTTAACCACAAGTATCGCAGCTTTTAGGCTCGGTGGGGAACAGGACATCATCAGGTAGCTCGCAAACTTGTGTCCACGAGTTCGGCCCCCCAGAAGTCCCAGTTTGCGTTCCTTTCTTTTAGACTAGCTCCAGCGTTTCAACCCTCCTACTTTGCCCCTAGATTGTTTACCGGCTCTCACTGTTAAACCTGGTCCCCGTCTGGCCTCACTATGCGCCTCCCTCAAAATGTGTAAGTTGGGGCTTTCTCGTCGGGGGGAAAGTGCCCGTCTCCTGCTCTTTCCACCACTTGAAAATGAAATTAAAGGAGGGCAACCCCCGTCTGCCCCCGGATGCGCAGTGGACACCGGTCCACTTCGTCCCGGGCAGAGCCCCGCGAACTCCGCCCGCCCAGGCCGGACCGCCTCTCTCCGGCCGTCGCGAACACCCGGAGGAGTGGATTCGTGCCGCGCGAGAAGCCGGGCTGGCTAGGGCCGCGGACTGGGCATGCTCGGCATCCTGGGAGGCTGGCAGTGGCAAGTCGGAAGCATTCGCACCAGCGAGGCAGCAACCGGGGTAGCGGCGGCAGCGGCAGCAGCTAGGACAGGAGCGGGAAGCGCCGGCCGGGGAAGGCTATTCTTCCCTCGGGCTCGGCGAGCCGGCTGGAGGGCGCGATCCGGGTGCAGAACCCCAACGCTGCCCTGCCCCGGATTTCATTCCGCGACAGCGGGCTCGGCGAGCGGAATTCCGGCGGCGGCCGCGACACCGGTGCAAGTGAGTCGTGGGGCGGGGGGAGAGAGCCGGCCCCGCAGTCTCAGAGGCCGATGAGTCCTCGCGGGCCAGGCCTGACGCCAGTGGGCGGTGTGCGGGCAGCCCCGGGCGAGGGGGCGTGAGCTGAGCCGGTGCGTTGCCTCGCGCGTACCTGGCGGGCACTCCCTCCCGCGCCGCGGCTCCCAGAGGGTGGGCACGGGGGGCGATCCTGTGGTCGGAATCGCGGCTCGGAGGGGGCTGGTCGCCCGCGGGCTTCCTGGCCAAGTTGGAGTGGGGAGGCAGGCGGGGGCGGCAGTCGGCACCTCTTCAGAGGTGCTGCGTGCGGGCTGGAAGGCTGTCTGGGGTCGGATTGGGGCGAGCGTCCGGCTGACGGTGGAGGGGCCAGGGAACCGGGAGGTGGGTCGCCTACGGGCAGTTGTCCAGCGGGGGTTCGGAGACCAGCAATGGCCGACCCCAAATCACGGCCCCCGCCACCACGGCCCGAGCGGCGGCGTGTCGGTTGGTACGTTGGGACCAGACCGTAGCCGGTCAGGCGCCCAGGGCTGTCAGACGCCCCCGTCGCAGCCCCTTAATGTCCCCAGGCAACTTACCCAAGTGGGATCCCCTTCCCCGAGGAGCTAGCTCCCCCTCCCCAGGCTGCGTAACATCCCCCAAGCTCCAGGGCGGCCCTGAGACCCCACGGGGATACCCCCTCCGCGTAGGGGTGTTTAGGGGCGAGGCCTGGAGTGGCCATCGGCTCAGCCCCGAACCGGACAGCGTCTCCAGGACGCGGTTCTCCCTGTGAGGAGCCTCCACGATTCCGAGGCGCCCTGTCAAGGGCAGAGAAGCGACAGCAGCGGGTGGCTCTCCCACCATCTTAACCCAAACTTGGGCTCAGTGCTTCCTCTGGTGGGCCAGGTAGGGTGTTCTGGTCCAGTTAGCGGATTCAGCCTGGCCCGTTCTGGTTAATGTTTGTTTCCCTCGGGGAATCGAGAGTAAAAATCGAGCTGAGGATTGCCATGGCTGGAAGGAGGAAGAGAATCCCGGCAGGTGTTTCTTAGATGTTTCTTTTTACCTTCAGACCGTACAGACTTCAGCTGTATACGCTTATGAAACCAAGAGCGAGGGCTGCTTTCGGAAAGGCAAGTTGTGTTATGGGGCCTGACTTATTTTAGCTACCTTGACATTTACCTACGTGGATCTTTAAAGCTGTTTGTTTAAAGCCAAATAAAAACAGGTTATTTTGCTTTCGGATTAGGTGGTGAATGTTTCTAGTTGGCTGCCTGGATGTGAAAGTGGCGAATGCCTGTCATGGTGTGCTGTGAACTCCCCACGCTCCCCACTGGTGGTTGAATGTTCTGGGGGACTGAGTGGGCAAAAAAGAGGGGAGTGGGATCGGTGACGTAGGAGCGCTTTGGGAGTTGCCTAGGGCTGCCCAGACTGAAGGGGTAGGCGGTTGTTTTGGCCTGTGCGGAAAAGGAGAGGGCTGGGCGCTTTCATTGGTCCGAGTGTAAGATGTCCAAAGGAGAAGCCGCGCGGGGGATGGGTGCCTGTCTGGTCAGTGCTCCAGGGGAAGCCCAGGGATGTTTGGTGATTCAGCAGGTGGCAGCCTTCCAGCTCTGAAGCCATGCCTTGGAGCTGCAAGCCAGCAGCTGCTGCCTGTGCCTGCTGTTGGAGGCGCCAGCTTTGGGGGAGCCTCTAGGAGCTGCCTTCTGCCTATAGCAGCACGCTTTTCCTTATCTTGCTTCCTGTTAAGGTCTCTGAGGCCGTGGTTCTATAAGTTTCTTCACTATTTCTCTTAAACTGTGTAGAGTGTTTCTGGGTTTCTCCAGCCCTGTGACCTGCTGCGTAGCAGGAGGTGGCAGCTGCCACCATGCACAATTTAAGAGGTTAGTTATTCTGCAGAAAGTGATTGTAAAACTGTCCTATAGGGTTTCCAAGACTGTAATCTTTACGGAAGGAGAATACCACATCTTTTTCCTGTGAGTGGCTAGTGGGTTCAAACCACCAACCTTTTGGTTGGCAGCCGAGCGCTTAACCACTATGCCACCAGGGCTCCTGTTAGAGGGGCATAGTAAATAAAAGTGTGTTATTCATCTGAGGATCCCTAGCATCTTGCACAGTGCCTGACTTGTAGTTATTAGTTGCCATCTCGTACATACTCAATAAATGCCTATTCATCTGAATCTAAATAATTTTTGATAACAGAAAAGCTTATTAGTGTTCCTCGTGTACCTCATCTATTTCTTAAGTCTGGAAATGGGGTTCTCCCCTCAACATTCCTAGAATAAAGTATATACAGCAATGCCAAGCCGTTTTGACACTTAAGGAAATTTGTACGGTCATAATTTTGTGTTGACTATAGACATTCAATTTTAGTTTGAAACCTCAACTAAACTTTTTAAACTTTTTTTTTTTGTTAAGTCCCTAAATTTTCAATTGTGGCTGATCCTGTACTTCAGCTTACTTCAGACCTATGTGTCCTTTGTTAACAACTCTCAGGAAAATCTAAAGGACTCCTGCATTAGGCCATCCCATTTTTTTTTTTAAAGTAAAAAGTGCTCTTGCTGTACATCAAATATGATGTAATTTATAAAATTTCATTCCACATGAAGCATTTCAGGAAAACTCTCTGTAGAATTCCTAACCCTTTACCATCCAGTAAAAGGTACTACCATAGAAAAGACAAAACAGTGTCTCGGGAATAAAAATTCTGGATTGTTTACACAGGGGGATAAGTGTCCCAGTCGTTTTTGGGGGGGGGGGGTGCGCAAGTGTGTGGCCAGCCCATTTATCTACACTACCCCTTTACTCTTGTGCTCCCTCCTCCAGTTTAGCTGTTTCTTCTTCCTGTAAAGCCAGAGTTTTTTGGCATGGCCTTGCTTATTTAAAGCTGCTGCCAGCAGCATCTGTTGGAGTTTCTCACAAATTCAGTCAGTGGTGATTTTTATTTTTTGATGCTCCCATACTTTCCCGCTATTTCATATGGCAAACTCTTCAGTGGCTCTTAGAAAAAACTGTGGCCACTCTGGCCTGGTGGTGGGATGACTGATTACAGAATGCTCTTTTCTTTGCCAGTTTTGGATGGTAGCTATAGCCACAGAAAGCTCTTCTACAAGAACTTTTATGGCATGCCTGGTTTTTAAGGATTTTGGCTTTTCTGTTAAAGCCTCTTGGCTAGGAACATAAATTGTCATTTATCAACTCCTCCCACGTTCCAGAGGAGCCCCCCAGTGGTGCAAATGGTTAAGCGCGTGGCTGCTAACCGAAAGGTTGGAGGTTCGAATCCACCCAGCAGCTCTGCAGGAGAAAGACCAAGAAAATCCTATGAAGCAGTTCTGCTCTGTCACATGGGGTTGCTGTGAGTCGAAATCGACTCTACAGCATCTAACAACGACTGCACTCCAAGCGCTTCAGCTGTAAAGTTTGTCAGTTTTATAAGCCATCCAGACACAAGAGGACTGCATTTTGGATCAGCACGTTTGGGAGGCAGCATTGGATGTGGAGGCGGAAAGAGTGAAGAATGGGAAGAAGGAGGGCGGTGGTTCCCCAGGAAGGTGGCTTGGTTTTGTAACTGTGAGTTCTGGTTTCAGTAAAACCAAACTGAATGGCTGATTAAGTGTGGCCTAGCCTTCCCTGGAGTGCTCTGCTCCCCTCCAGAGTTCTCTTTACCTCCACAAATAAACACGCCACACACACATTCGGACAAAGACAAATGCAGAGAAGAGACACAGGGGAAGACGCACATGCGCATGCACCCCCACCCACACCCACCCCTTTTGCCAAAAGTCAGGCACCTGCGCTACTCTTTAAATACTGATATGCCAAGGAGGGGAAATCCAGGGCTCAGTAGCAGGTTAGATCCTGGTAGCCTGAATCACCTAAAGTTTGTACTTAAGAAAGTTCTCCTTCGCTTTTAGTGGCAAACTGATCTGCCCGGGTAACGACACAAGGCACTGGGACTTTACCGAAGCCGCCATTATATGTAAATGTAGGTGAGTGGGAATTTAAAGATAACTTTGAGAGCTGAGTTAATCACTTTCCTCAGTTCTTGGCATATAATCCTCTCTGCAAAGCTCCTTGTTTTCTTTTTCCTCCTTCATTCTCACTCCCATTCTCTTCTGTCAGAGGAGGCTCCTCTCACATGTTGGATGTGTGTTCTTGGGTATATATGTCTCCTTGTTAAAGAGGCTGGGTTATTTGTGTTTTTAATTTACGTAAGTGGTATTGTACTGTAGACTTCATTCTATTTCTTGTTCTTCAACATTAAAACTTTTCATTATGGAAAATTTCAAACCTGTGTAAAAATCCAAAGAAATTTCATTGTGTATTTCCTTTGTGAGATCTGCGCTAGGATAGGTATATCTGGTGCATTGCTTCTGACTGCTGCTTTTGTATGGTCTGGTATACGTCTACTAGTTTTACTTATCTGTTTTCTTAGTGATGGGCACTTAGCTCACCTGCACTCCTGCTACCACAAGCAAAGATGTGATGAACATCCTGTACCCACTCTCTTAAAGATGTGTGTGAGAATATCTCTAAGGTATTGGTTCTCTAAGTGTGGTCCACACTTAGCAGCATCAGCATCATGTGGGAACTTGTTAGAGATGCAGACTTGTGAGCCCCAGCCTAGACCTCCTGAACCAGAAACCATGAGGGCCGAACCCATCAGTCTATGTTTTCACAAGCCCCTTTGGAGATTCTGATGCTTGGGAAAGTTTGAGGACTACTGCTCTAAGCATACATGCCCAGCAGTGGGTGGGCTGGGTCATAGGGTACAGGCACACCTGTTTTCACTAAATATTGCCAAATTACTCTCCTGAGTTGCTGAACCAGTTTGCTTCCTCACATGAGTGCATGAGAGTTCCTGATTCCCCGCATCCTCACCAATGTTTGGTATTAACAACCTTTCTAATTTTTACCAATACCTGCTAGCTGTAAAGTGGTGTCTGATTGTTCTAATGTGAATTTATGTGATTTCTTAGTGAATTTCAGCACCTTTTAATGTATTGGTAAGGTCCCCTGGTGGTAAGTAGCTAAAGTGATCAGCTGCTAACTGAAAGGTTGGCGAGCTGAAACCACCTGCGGCTCTGTGGGAGAAAGATGTGGCAGTCTGCTTCCATGGAGATTTACAGCCTTGGAAACCCTATGGGGTCACTATGAGTCAGAATCGACTTGATGGCAGTGGGTTTGGTTTTTGTTTGGGTTTTTAATGTATTTGTTAGGTTTTGCAATTTCTTTAACTAGCTTTAGTCTGCTTTTCTGATGGCTAATTTGCAGTTTCTCGCATGTTCTAGATATTAATCTCATTCTGCCATCTGTGTATTTACTTTGTCATTGCTGACTGTCATCAATGAGAAATGTTTAGTTTTGATATAGATGAAATCCATCAAATTTTGTCTTATGTTGCACTTTAGGACCTTTGATAAGATGTTATTCCTTACTTCAAGATTACAAAGATATTCTGTATTCTATCAGTTTTCTAGTTTTACTTTTGACATTTAGGTCTTTAATCTATTTGAGGTTCATCTTTACACATGGCATAGGGAAGGAATCCAACTTTATTTTTTCCTTACCATTTTGTGGGCCAGTTTCCGTCTAATCATCTGTTAAACAGTGTATTGTTTCCCTAATATTTTTTTGTGGAGCAACCTTTATCATACGTCAGGTTCCCACATATATACATGAGTTTATTTTTTCAACTTTATTATGAACTATAATTTACATAGAGTAAACTACACTCATTTAAACTGTCCAATTTGATGAGTTTTGACAAGTGTATGTAACTGTGAAACCACCACCACAGTCAAGATACATAGCATTTCCATTATCCCAAAGTTCCCTTGGACCTCTTAACAATCCCTTCCTTCCTTTGTTCCCAGACCCAGGCAACCACTAATCTGTTTTCAGTTACTATAGATTAGTTTTGCATTTTCTAGAATTTTATAGAAATAGAACCATACAGTATGGTATTCCTTCGTGTCTGGTTCCTTTCACACAACATACTGATTTTGAGATTCTTCAGGGTGCCTGTTTTTGAGTTCTCTATTCCCTTCCAGTCTATCTGTTTATATGACAGATTATTATTATGGTTTTGCAGTATGTCTTTTGTGGCAGAGTGAGCCTCTCCTTTGCTCTTTTTTCTCAAAATTGCACTTGGTTATTTGTGGACCTTTGTTCTTTCATATATATTTTGGAGTGCTTCTCAAGTTCTCAATGAATTCTTAGAAATGTGATTGGCATTGCATTGAATGCATAGTTTAATATGGGGAAAATTGATACCTTTTCTGTCTTAATACTATAATTCTATTCACGAACATGGTTATCATCTATCTTTTTAAAATGACTTTTTAATAGAGTTTAAAACTTCTCTGTCACGACAACATTTTTTTCAAAGGTAATGTGCTGCTTTGTGGAGAATTTGAGTGCGGGCACCTTAAAGGTGGGCAGAGTAGGGGCTTTTTGGGAAGATCTAGTTTAAATCTCTGTTCTCCACTCAGCAGGCTTGAGTGACAGTGGGCAAGTTGCTCACTCCTCAGAGCCCCAGATTCCTCCTTCCTCAAACAGGGATAACACCTCCCTCCCCTGCAAGGTTGTGCAGGGGTTTAGATGAGGTAATGTGGGAAAGGCATGGAGTACAGATCTGGAAACAGAGTTGCCTCTCACTGAATGTTAGTATAATACCTCCCCTGATGCTGGCTTTAAATAGAATAAACTTACTTTTATTCTGCTTTTCTTAAGGCTGGATAACGAAGTGTCAGAAAAGGGAAGTGGTGAATAAGCCAACCAGTTAACCACGTAACAGTCTCCAAGTCCATATAAGCAAGCCCATGCTTCTGCCTAGCTTTGCGGGGGCTTCACAGAAAGTATGGATGTTTTCAAATGATTTTACAGTGGAGTGGGAGAAGAAAAGACTAATATACAAGAAACAATTAGAGAACTCTATGTGACAGATGGTATATAATTAGAGGTTAAGTAGTGCGGTGCCAGGGGAATTAAGAGAAAAGAGAAATCCTGTTCTGTGAAAGAGTTTTGACTTGACTTAGGGAGAATTAGATTAGTGAGAGAGAAGAGGTCCGACAAACCAAGTATAATTAACGTTTCTGTCGGGGTGGCCTTGAGGGCCCAATATTGAACCCCATGACAATGGATATTGTGCCTATAATTAAGTATTTTAAATCAGAGCTTTGTTTGGGATTGGTGATAACTAGTAACTAGTAGGTAACTAGTAGCTGTCTGTTTGATAGTTCAGTTAAGAATTCTGACTTGAGCCAGAATGCCTGGGTTCAGATCTTGGCCTCGCCACTTGGGAGCTGTGGGACCTTAGGCAGGTTATAGAAACCCTCTGTGCCTTCCCCATTTCCCCAGCCTTGGTGGCGTGTGTAATAACAGCAGCAACTTCACAGGGTTGTTGGGAGGTCTATATAAGTTAGTATTTGTAACACACTTAGTGCCTGGCACATGGTAAGCAAAATATAAATGCTAGCTGCTGTTATTGCTACTTTTGTTAATATTTGTTGTGCTTGAGGTGTGTGAGGCTTTATGCTGTAGAATCGGACAGCTTTTGTGCAGAAAGACCTGGACGGAGGTAGAAGGACCTGGTCAGAGGTACAGTCCTGTAAAGTGGGCTTTCTGGACCAAAGAAGTTTGTGCACATTGCTAGGTTTGCTGGGTGGGCGGTAGGAGCTCAGACTGTAGACTGATTAAGTGCCTGAAAGACACTGATTAAGTGCCTGAAAGACTGCCAGGTGCAGTCTCCCCGGATGGCCTGCCTGGTGGGAAGTAGAGTGGATAGAATAAGTCAGGTGGTCGGCGTGCAGGAAGCAAGTTTTGTTTTGCTATATTCCTAGTTCTAGTTTTGGACAGAGATGTAGTAATCATGGGGATTCATGTTTGTTGAGGGCTTACCGCAAGCCACTGCTCTAAACCCTTGACCCTCATGACACTTCTATGAAACATATTCAGAGACAGGAGAGTGGGACACAAATAATTTCCCCAAGAAAGTAGAAGAAGGAATGCCTTGAAAGAGGTTAGTGTTTGGGGCCTCCACCAGTTGGAAAAATAACAAGAGTAGGTGCTGTTGTTGGTGGCGAGCCATCACAATTACGTAAAGAGTTGTGAAACACAGGTTAGCCCAGCTGGGCATTCCCATGACCTTGGAAGTTTATCGGCCTAAGCCAGTGGTTCTCCAGTTTCAGCGTGTATCAAAGTTACCTGGAAGGCTTGTTAAACCTCTCAGTGCTGGGCCCCACCTCCACCAGAGTTTCTGAGGCAGCAACCATTTGCTTGCCTAACATGTTCTCAGATGACATTGAGGCTGCTGGTCTGGGGACCGCTCTTTGAGAGCCACTGCCACAGGCAGTACCCCTGTCCACAAGGAATCAGCTGCTCCTGGTTGTAGTTAACAATAAGCCGGGATTGATTTCAGATTTAGAAATTTTAAGTACTTTCTACTTCATGAAATAAAAACTGACTCACATGGTCTGTTTATGTAGGACAGCAAAAGGATATCTGAGTCGGCGCAGAGGAGAAATTTGCTTTTTCTGCTGCTCAGTGTTTCTGACATGGCTCAGGATATATAACCTAGGGTGGAGAGAAAACGTGGAAACGCATGTTAACTTCATTGGAAGCATGAAGTGTCATCTGATGCCTCTCTTCTTAGGAAGGTAGCCTGATTTTTTTAAATTTCATTTTCCGTCTTCTCTACAACCTGCCATAAACTAGGAAAAAAAAGAAAAAGGCTTTATGCCACCATTTATTCCCATGGGAGAATTTAGGCACAGAGAAATTGAAAGTATATTAAGATACATAACTTGACAGTGGGAAGGTGGAAGATACTTATTTGACTGGGTTAGTTGTAGTAGAAAACTGTGTTTGTAGGAAGCCACCAAATTAAAAAAAAAAAAAAATGCTGTGTGCCTATCTCCTTCATCTGTTGTGAGGTATAATAGCTACCTTGTGTAAACAGTTTAGTACAGCCACTATGGGAAGCGCTCAAGAATTGTAAGCTGTTATCATTACAGCAAAGATTTGTTGTTTTGCAATTCAGACGGCATCTTTTCCATCTGAAAATGTTACACACAAAATTGGAGAATGAGGAATTTTTACAATTGCAAGATTTTGTAGGAGCTTGGGAGTTGGAACTAACTCAGATCTTACCGCTGAAAGCATGAGTTAAAGGAGAGCGACAGAAGTGAGTTGTTTGGGAGGAAAGATTGGTCTAGATCTTTCCCTGGGCCAGTTGTCAAGGCTTTCCTGTGGTCTAGATCTTTCCCCGGGCTCATTGTCAGGGCACTTCTGTGACCCCGTAGGCCTGGAGAGGCTTGCTTGCTTGGTAAAGGTATGTGATGGAGCAGAGAGGATGGGGGTTGCCAAGGAAAGATGGGGGAGGCTGGAGTGGCCTGTTCATGTGTGCGAGACGCTTTCAAGTCTTGTCCTTATAATTCATAGCTTACAGTGGTAGTAAACACATATTGAAGGTCAGCTGCGGCCTAGAACCCTTAGTAAGCCCAGAGATCGTGAGATGGCGCCTGGAGGGTTCGTGGGAGACAGACATGTCCACAGATAAATGTTAACATCGAGTAGTGAGTGCCGTAGTGCAGCTGCACACCAAGCCTGAGAATGTGTAGAAGAAGGTCACTGATACCACAGGATAGTGGTATTTTGGGATCTTTGCTTTTGGTTTTAAAATAACATGAGGTTTACTTTTTCAGTGAGGTAACTCTGACAAGCATTAAGTGGTCAGCAAAGGGGAAGTTGGAAACTGGGACTGCATTTCAAAACTACTTAGGAACCCTTACGGGAGCACTTGATGGTTTACTTTCTTTGTCTTTTAAAATTGTGGCTACATTTTAGCTGCTGCTTAGAAATGTGGAACCTGGAGAAGATTAATGACTTTCTCTCTTTAAGGTAGATCAGCTTTTTAAAGAAACTCTTTATTGAAAAACAGGGTTTCAGCTTATTTCCCCCGAATTTTTGGCCAAGTGCTAAATTCCACTTTTATTTTTGTTCTCGGTGTACATTTTTTAATTTTCTCTGCCTTTCCCTTCCTCCCTCCTTCCTTTCTTCTTCCTTCCTTCCTTCATGCCCTTACAAATAATTTGCAAGCCCAGGCATATCTGCCAGTGGTGTGACCTTGAGAAACTTGGGCCCTCTGCTTCCTTATCTGTAAAGGAGAGTTTGGATTAGTTGACCCCTGGTCATCTAGTTCCTGAATTCCATGAGTCCTGTGATTAGAGGACACCTGAAATGAGTGGCTCATGAGCTCCCCATTATCAATCTTTTATTATCCTGCTAATAAAAAAAGAGTCTTATTTCACTGGTTTTCTCCGACCTGGTTAGTTGTTGGTCCAGATCACTTTATAGAAGCAGCAGAAAGTGGTTGATTCTCCAGCTGTTTGTATTTTTCAGGTTATGACTGATACCTCTCCTGACAAATTTTTCCATTCAAGTGCAAAATGTGTGATGTTTGTTTAGTCTTTTTGAAAGTTTTCACGCTGATATATTCTGTGAATTCATGAAGGATGGGCTGTTATAACTAATCTAATATTGGGAAGGGAGGTGTTTTGCTGGCAGCTTGTCCCCCTAATGCCTTAGCAAACCCAGGCCAATGGTTTGGACTGATGTCTGAAAACAAGGTGTGGGTGAGGTGGGTGTGCAGAGGTACACAAGGCCAAACAAGAAAAGGAGTTGATTACTCCTAAGGAGAACTAGTCAGGGAGAGGGGAGTGTGTGGGGTCGGCAGGGGAAGTGGCTGGGTTGCAGGTGCACCAGTGGGTCGATGAGGACAGGAGAGCTGATATCTGGCATGCTGGTCCTGCCACAGGACCAAAATGGAAGTTGTAAAAGGAACACCCTGTATGGGAGAATCTGGGCCTGTGAGCCTGAACTAGGCTTTCCTGGTCACCTGAGATGGAGCGAGGGCAGGTGGGGACAGGCATGACTGGCTGCCCAGGCACACCTGTGAGGTTGTAATGAACTCCTTGAGCCATTTTTGTGTGAATGGGAGAAAAAAAGGATCCTTCTGGATAACAGGAACTAGGAAAGACCAGGACCCAGGGCCCTGATTTTGAAAGCTAGTTGGGGAGTGGTAGAAACAGCAATATACTCGATTTAAACTTACTTGTGGCACTGGTTTTTTCTTGTGTGAAATGGTAATAATAATCACTACATCACAGTGTTGTTGTACGAAAACCCTTGGTATATGCCTTCCGTAATGCGGGGCAGCATTCTGCAGTTGTTGTGGAGGTGGCCTTGGAAAGTGGCATGGAGTGTGACCCAGGGATTTCTGCCTCTCAGAAGGAGGGAGTGCAGGTTCCCTTTCCTCTCATGGGGAGGCATGCTGACTAAATGGACTACGAGTCAGTCTTGGAGCTCTTGCACAGGGACTGTCCCTCCTTCCCTAGCTTCCTGGCCATGTGTTAAGATTTTTCACCATGTGGACTTTGTCATCCTTTCCCTGATGTTTCTACCTGATCTTATCTGAGAGCCTGCCCCATTACTCCTTCTGGCTGTTATTTTATGTCCTCATTTTGAAGTCTCAAGTCTACAGAATGTTCCATGTGTGTCACTGCTTTCCATGGAAGTCTTCGTGGACGGCCTCAGTCTCAAACCTAAACATTCAGTTCATCTGCAGCTGTGACCCTGGACAAAGCTAAGGATATAGGTGTGAACAAAGTGGAGTCTCAGCTGCAAGGAGTTTTCTTGTAATGGGGCAGACAAACAACAATTAAGTAAACAAATTTGTAGCATGTCCGGTGGTCTGGAGGCAAAGCCTCACCTGGGCCTTGTAACGGCTCTGTCGCCCATGCACAAGGTCGGTAACTTGACATTTTCTTTACTGACTCTGTCTGTGTAGTGACACCTGAGGTACTCTGAAAGGCCTACAGAATTACCAGCAGTTGTGCTGGGCAGTGTTCCAGGTTTCCATCGGGCCCTGAACATGGCTGGCTTCTCTCATCCCTTTGATTTTAGAAGCAGACACGGGATGGTGAGATGACTGAGGAATTTCTCAAGCCTCCTTTTGGCCATTTGTTTGAACGCTCTCTCACTGGCCTAGAGGTTCTCACTGGGGTCCATGGATGGCGTCGTGAAGCCACTGAAATAAAATTTATCATTTTGGGCATGTACTCAAGTGTACTTTTCTGGGTAGAACGTCCATAGCTTTCATGAAATTCACCAGGAATGTCTCTGAAACGTCCATTTTAATGAAAGCAGAAAAAGGTTACAGTTGTGCTAGTGAGAGTTTCTCTTCATTGACCTCTTTCTTTTTTTAGAGGGGCTAATAATAAAAAATGCGTCTGTGGTGGTGCAAATGGTTAAGCACTTGACACTGCTAGCTGAAAGGTTGGCCGTGTGAATGCACCCAGAGGTGCCTCAGAAGACAGGCCAGATCACTCCTGAAAATCCTATGGAGCAGTTTTACTCCGCACTCATGAGGTCACCGTGTGTTTAAATAGACTCGACAACAACTACCAACAACTCCAACAATAATGAGAAGTAACTGCCCAAAAGGGAGGAGGCAGGCACACACCAAGAGACTCATTGCATTTACTTAGGTCTTGAGATTTCTGTGTCTTAGTTATTCCTCTGAGAAAATAAGAGCAGCAAAATGATGTAGCTGGTGTCATTGGAAGATGAGCTAACTGAGGGGGAGGGAAGGTGGGAAGGAAGTGTGCTGCAACAATGTGGTTTTCTCCTCTACTGCGCAAGAAGAGAAGGTTGAGCCCTGAGGGGACAAGCAAGAGACTACTTGGAGCAGATGCTCCTTCTCAGATTTCTGCATTTGATGGACACTGAAAATAGGTCTGGAGAGGACAGTTTAGGACTGGCTGTTGCTGTCAAAGGCACCTGTTTAAGGAAATTCCTCTGTTTGAGAAGTTTACGGTATTGTAAAGTTATCTCTGTTAATAAGAAGTACGTTAATAATAGGAAAACAATTTACCCAACTAGTAAATTTCATAACAATTGCCCTTTAAGATCATGCTGTGAAGGGTAGCTTTTGAGAGTGATGGCATAAATACTTACATACTCTTGATCCAGCAATTCTACTTTTAGGAATTCATTTTAAGGAATAATCAGGATTGTTATTCTGCTCAGAGCTGTTTATCACAGTGAAAAATTGGAATCACCTAACTATCCAATAATAGGGGATTTGTTATATGTATCCACGTAATGAAGTACTAGACAACCCTTAAAAATAACATCTAGAATAATCAATCATATAGGAAGTTGTTCTAAAAACATTGTTCTGTGCAAAAAGGTATGTACCGCTTTTGTAAAAAAAAAAAAAAAACTATTCATCAGATTCTGGTTGACGCCAAACGTGAGCCAGGCACCCTGCTGGGCGGTAAGGAGACAGTGATGAACTAGACAGATACAGTTCCTGCCCTCCACAGGCTTCTAGTCTACTAGGGAAATAGTCAATCCATACTGACTTTGCCATAAAAAGGTTTTATAAATACTCATACAAGGACTATAAAAGAATGACTCCTTAACAGAGACTTTAAGACAGTCTGATATAACCTGTGAAGTCCTATCAGATGTGCCTCTGTCTACCTGTTATTGGCTACATCTCTGACCTGAAATCCCTGATTTTCTAGAAAACTTGAAGTAATTAAGGTGTCATAATGATTAATGCCCCGGCATCAAACTATCTTCATTGCAGTCTCTTTCTCCCCTAGCCCAGTGCAAGGCTCTGTGGGTGGTAAGGATACGGAAGTGGTGGCATGGTAGTTTTAGGCCTAAGGGATATTTCCCACCCTGCTTTCTGGTTTTTGTTCTCTATGCTTTAATTGTCACAAGCCTCATCACTAGCCCCCCATCCCCCCGGAACCATGCTTTGTCTGTTCACTGTCCCTTCTCTTGGGTCTCGTGTTGTTCTGAGCCTTGTGCCCCTGCTTGTGGCGTTTGTAGCCATGTGGAGTTGTGCTTTATTCTTAGAAATCATCTGGTTTAAATCCTTTGTAGGAGCCTGGTGAAGCCTGGATTGGAATCTAGGTCTCTTGACTTTCAAGTGGACATCTTTTCCACTAAGCAACAGCCGTGGCCCCTCCTACCCACTGTAGGGATGGCCCTTCTGAGCAGATTTGCGTTAAAAATTAGTGTGCATTTCAAATTGGTGACCCCAGAAAGCTGTAGTAAAAGTTAATTCGTTCCTTCATAGGCAAAAGGGCAGCAGATTTCTTGAGGAAAAGAAATTAACCACTGTCCTTGGTAGTGTGGCCACCTGTCGCAATATGGAGATAAAGTAGAATTGGTGTTGGCGGTGTTTGGCAAGGATGTGAACAGTGCTGTGTTCTTAGCCAAAACATAGTGCATTTCCACTGTGTGCCAGACGTTGTGTTAGGCTCTCAGGGTCCCAGAGGACAGCAAGGCGGAGCTCTGTTCTCAAGAGCTCACACTCTAGAGAGGGCAGCTGACTGATGGGCCCATTGGCAGTGCAGTGTGATTAAATGCCGTCTGTGTGTGCAGGAAGGCATTCACAGAGGAGGGCAGGTTTGAGCTAGACTCGTTGATGAGGGGTAGGATTGCGGTCTGTCCTACAACTCCTGGGGGCACCACGGACACTGGAGTCTGTGAATGGCACCCTCTGGAGTTTACAGGACTGTGCTGACTGTTCAAGGCCGCTCTGCATTTGCTTTTTAACCTAAGATTAGGTTTTCCTTTTAGGACAGCTTTTCTTTTTCTTCCTTCTCCTCCTCTCCCCTTCCTGCCTTTCCTTCTTCCCCCTGCTGCTCCTCTTTTTCCTCTTCCATTTAGAAAATACATAAGCAAAGAGAATAGCATTCATAATCACATAGGTAACCACTGTTACCATTTTGGTGTACTGTGTATTTCTCCAGTGTTTTCTTCTGTATAGATTTTGACTAAGTGCTGAAAGATAGACTGTTAAGGAATATTATTGCCAAAGCCAAGTATCACCATCCTAGAATGGACTTCTGAATGCAAGTATAAATCTGAAATTCTATAAAAATTACTATAGTTTTATTATTAAAATTTTAATACAGTTTGGCATTGTGGTAGAGGAACTTAATCTCAGCAAAGATGAACATTTATGAACAATATATGAACATATATGAACAGTACTGAACATCTGTGATATTGTGTCAGTGTTGACTGTTAGCTGAGATAGAAGAGGGAGGAATAAGGCTTTTTGTTGTTGTGGTTTCGGTAGTTTGCCTTCATCTTATTAAACTTTTGTCAAATAACTGACTTTCGTTGGTGATGATGGTAATACTGTTTCATTGAACTCATCCCTCACCTCAGCTTTGTTTGTGCACTGCTTGAATGTGATTATATTTGGATAATCTCAAAAGCAGAAGTAAGATTTTTCCCCTTACACTAATTTTTCTGTGATATTTTTGCATGTGCTTGCTGCTTCACACAACCAGTTGAGAGAAAAATGCATCCTTAAGCTGGACTCTAGAAGTGTGGCAGTGGAACGGTGTAATTGGCTTTCAAGATAATGAAGTGGTTTTCAGTATCTCCATCTGCATCTCAGCTTTCACTGCCTGCAAGCCAATTTCAGCATCTTCTCTCGAGAAGAATGACAGAAGAATCTTTACAGAAGTAATATGTGAGAAATGTTTGCTCTCTCAAGGTACCTCAGTTTCCAACAACTGAACCACCTTCTCAGCAGGCAACCATGGGTTGTTAGTAGCATGCTCTTTGATATTGTTAGTAGCAGGTAATGTTGATAGTGTTATACGCCAAGTACAATCTTAGAGCTTTCTTTTATTCAGGCAGCCTTTTAAAATATATAATAACCAGCCCTTGCATCCTCTTTGACGTCTTGTATAAGTACATGACAAAATCCCTCAGATGTTACACAGTTTGCCTTTGGCTGAAGAAGATTTTTATTTTAGGATACATCTGGAATGCTTACCAACATTTAAAAATAAATCTTTGGATATTAACAGTAAATATTTGAATGACGTGCCTTATTTGTGTCGCTGATGTCATGCTGATGTGGTGGTAACCTACATAATGATGCAGTCACTGATCATACACCAGTTCAAGGATGTCAGAAACAACATTTGAAGAAAGCATTTGGCCTTCCAGATTGAAACTGAAGATCAGGTTGTGGCTGAGAATGGATGAAGACAGCTGCAGTGGGTCTTTAAATATATGTTGTTAGGTGCTGTTGAGTACAATCATAGACCCAGTGTACAGCAGAATGAAACACTGCCGGGGCCCGTGCCATCCTCATAGTCGTTGGTGTGCTTGAGCCTATTGTTGCAGCCACTGTGTCAGTCCATAGGGTCTTCCTCTCTTTTGCTGACCTTTTACTTTACCAAGCATGATGTCCTTCTCCAGGGACTGGTCTCTCCTGATAACATGTCCAAAGTATGTTATGACAAAGTCTCGCCAGCCTCACCTCTCAGGAGCATTCTGGCTATACTTCTTCCAAGACAGATTTGTTCGTTCTTCTGGTATATTCCAGTATCCTTAAAGTCCATGGTATATTCAGTATTCTTCACCAGCACCATAACTCAAAGGTATCAATTCTTCTTTGGTCTTCCTTATTCATTGTCCAGCTTTCTCATGCACATGAGGCAATTGATAATACCATGGCTTGGGTCAGGTGCACCCTAGTCCTCAAGGTGACGTCTTTGCTTTCTATCAGTTTAAAGAGATCTTTGCAGCAAATTTGCCTTATGCAATACGTTGTTTGATTTCTTGACTGCTGCTTCCATGGGTGTTGATTGTGGGTCCAAGTAAAATGAAATCCTTGACAACTTCAATATTTTCTCCATTTATTATGATGTTGCTTATTGATTCAGTTGTGAGGATTTTTGTTTTTATATTGAGGCATAGTCCGTACTGAAGGCTGTAGTCTTTGATCTTCATTAGTAAGTGCTTCAAGTCCTCTTTGCTTTAAGCAAGCAAGATTGTGTCATCTGCATATTGCAGGTTGTTGATGAATTGTCCTCCAATCCTGATGCCCAGTTCTTTTTTATATAGTCTGGCTTTTAAGATTATTTGCTTAGTGTACAGATTGTGTAATTATGGTAAATATATGTAGAAATATATATTTATTTGTATAGATTTACAATCTAATATTTCTAAGATGTGATTGAGAATATTCCAAATATGTGGTTTGCTTTTAAAAAACATCTTTTAATAGGCTTTTTGTTTGTTTTTAATAAGGAAAAGTATGTGCCTTCTTATGATTAGTTTTACTAGAGGGTGCCTTGTCCAAGTTTGGTCAACACCCAAACACTTTCAGCTGTGTTGAGGTGAAGGCACCAGTATTTGCCTGAGGTCAAGAGAGTGGTTTCACAATTCTTCAGAGCAGTCTCACCAGCGGACTTGGCAGCTACCTTGAGCAAGGCCTGTCAGGGTTCTTGGAAAACAGCCCGATGTGTTCATATCTTTTGCTCTGATAGCTCTTGCCTGTCAGTACCTCAAGAGGGAAAATCTGGCAATAGTGTTTGGTTCCTCTACTCAGTCTTAGCTGGTAAGATTCTCGTAAGGACTCTTGCTGGATATGCAGATAGGATTTAAGTGATTTGCTCGTCTGGAAGCCTGTCTCACTGTTTAGGTACAACAGTCTGTTTGGGAGGGGCAGCTGCTGTTCTGGGCTGCAAGCTATGTGTACACAGTCACACCTTGATTTTAACTTGTATTTTTTCCCAAATTTGTGTGGAGTAAAGGAGGCCTGATGGAGCATAGAGAGCAACAAAATTTCCCCTCACTCTGTCTGGAGGTCCACTGGCTTTGTGGTGCCTGCTTATCCTGCAGCAACACTTTTATGGGAACTTTCGTGTGGAGATTAAGGAAATTGAGGCTAGCTTCCTGTTTTGTGGTAACGGAAGTGAAATGTTTTATACTCTTATAAGCTGGATAAAAATTAAATACAATAAACTGTAGTTTAGACAGTAGCAGTCAAATCTGTTCGTTTATGCTGCCCACATTTTCTAAAGGCACATGACGTATCTGGTGGAGGGGCTTTTCTGTGAGTTTACTGATGGCATCAGGGATTGTATTTTTATATTTAAAGTCAACTTTCTTGCTGTATGATTTTTCTTTTTGTTTGATAATTTTTTTGAGTCTGTCTTGGTCTTTTTTTCCACATTGGGCAGATCTGCTGCAAAAGACCTCTTTAACTATTAAAAAGCAAAGATGTCACTTTGAGGACTAAGGTGCACCTGACCCAAGGCGTGGTATTTTCAGTTGCCTCATATGCATGCAAAAGCTGGACGATGAATAAGGAAGACCAAAGAAGAATTGATGCCTTTGAATTATGATGTTGGTGAAGAATATTGAATATACCATGGATGGCCAGAAGAACGAACAAATCTGTCTTGAAAGAAGTACAGCCAGAATGCTCCTTAGAAGTGAGGATGGCGAGACTTCGTCAAAGTACTTTGGACATGTTATCAGGAGGGACCAGTCCCTGGAGAAGGACATCATGCTTGGTAAAGGGTTGGCAAAAGAGAGGAAGACCCTCAAAAAGATGGATTGACACAGTGGCTGCAACAATAGGCTCAATCATAGCAACAATTGTGAGGATGGCGCGAGACTCTGCAATGTTCTGTTGTATGTAGGGTTGCTATGAGTTGGAACCAGCTTGACGGCACCCTACAACAACAATAAGAACTTGGTCTTTTTGCTGATGGGTGTGTGTGCTAATGCCTGGAACTAAAGGATCTCTCTTCCTTTTCTATGAGTGGATTTTAAAAAGTCCTTGCTTATAAAAAAGTCCTTGATTTAAGTGGGTGACCTCTGGAACAAAATAACATACATGTTTAATACTCAACCTTATAATTTATACATTTAGTGACTTTTGGCAATCAGTCAAATATTCTGCTTCAAAGAATAGTTGTAATACCGTCTGAATACATTTTTTGGTTCAACTTGAAAGTTGTAACCAGAGAAATGCATCTCTGGGAAAGAAGATAATTATGGTCTTTTTGGCAAATGGTTGCCATGTGACAGTTGAAGTATGCTTTACATTATGCATTTGGTGGCTAACTAAAAGTGTGATTTCTGAGCTGTAGAATCTGCTGTATTGGGGGACTCTGATAAGTCATAATTGTGGTTCTGCTGGGGCCCTGGTAGGGTGGTGGTGAGAACATGGCCAGAGATGCAGGGTCCTGCCTTTGTGCTTTCTGACGTACTGATACCAAGTTTCTTTACTGGTGCTGGATGTGTTAGGACTATAACAGCGTAGGAGAAACAGGCCCCACTCTCGAGGTTACGATCAAAAGAGGAATACTAGCTAACATTTTGAGAGTATTTGTACTCAAGTGTCTATACCTATCATCCTGTCCCATTTAACTGGAATCCTCCCTGACCACTGCACTTCAAGCGCTATTTTGACATTAATACTTAATGTTTCTTGACTCTTGTGGACTACCTTCTTTCATTTCATTCCCCCTTTTGGGTCTTTGAGGCTCTTTACACTTCTGGTTCCCTTATCTTCTTAGCAGTTCCTTCATAGACCCCTCCCCTGGCACCTCTGCCTGATTTGTGCATCTGAATGTTCCTTGGGGTTCAGCTCTTAACACTTCTGTTCAGCAGCCTGGTATGTGCAGGCTCGCACAGGGGGACCTGTCTCCTTTCTTTAAGGTGATTGTGGTAGTGGTGGGGGTGGTCCAGCTGATAGAGGGCTCTGATTATTTGCTTTTGACCCCAAAAGCTCCTTCTTGTCTGGGAGGTATGGTCAGAGGGGCTTAAGCCCTAACACTCAGATGTGTGGGAGGAAGAGGTAGAGGCAGTACAGAGCCTTTTTTTTTTTTTTTTTTTTTTTTTACACTGTGGCCTTTGTTTTAGGGATAAACTTTAGGGGCCAGAGAAGTTGATGTGTAGGTTAAATCTCACCTTTCCCGTTTTTTCATCTGTATTTTATTTCCAGAATATTTATTGAGGTTCCTACTAGAATAAATGAGGGCCTGTACTTCACATTTTATGCTATTCCTAATTTTGAAAATTTAGCAAATAATAAATCTCAACCTATTCCTGTAAGGTCTAGTTTGTTGGACCCCTCTGTCTACATGTAGAAGACAAGTTTGATATACCCTTCACAGTAAGAGTTATTTAAAGATAAATAGTATGAGAGATTGACTTAAAGAATTAATTTTTTTTTGTCTCACAGGTTTGTTGTTGATTGCAACTTTAAAGTCCTTTTCAAATGTTATGGCTGTCCAGTTGAAAACAATTATGCAGATGTTCTTTCATGACTACAGAGGATTGTACAGTTTATTTTTCTTCCCGCCTCAATTTTCTTTATTACCTTGAGTTAACATTTGGAGGTACTGTTTCTGATACTATATATTTTAAGACTGATTTCTTGGATGGTTTTTTATTTACTGACCTGCCTGATAGAGATTTCTTTCTTTATGAGATTCATGCATTTGTAGAGCCCAGAAGTTATGACAGTTGAGAGAGGGAATATCAGATATTGGGAGGCAAACAAAACTAAGGCTTTTGAATCTAGACGGAGCTGGGTTTGAATGCCAGCTTTGCCAGATGGCAGCAATGGGACAGGTGGGTTGTTGGGCAGATTACTTAAGTTGTTTGAATCTTAATTTCCTCATCTGTAAAATGAGGATAATGCTCATTTTCAGGTTTGTTGTGGGATCATGTCTGTAAATCCCCAGCACACTGTGAGTATAGAGTAAATGGTAGTGGTTATTACTGGGGCTTCTTCTCCTGAGGCAAACATGTATTAGAAAGTGGTTATGTTTTTCTGTTATTTTCTTTTGCCATTTACCATTCCAGAGGATATGAAGGCAGAAATGAGGAAAGACTAGGCTGACTGAGAACCTCATTTTGTTGTTCAGTTGAATTCATATTACCTAAACTTGCTGATTTCCATCTTTTTTGCCTGATCACTTTTTCAGCTGTGGTGTGCAACGTTAAAAACAGAAGAGATACAATAAAACTTCCTCTTCCCAGAGCCCTTTGGAAGTAAGTTGCGCTGACCACCCGGTTCTTCCCCTGGAGAATAGAGGCATTACATATATTTTTCTCTCTCTATTTTGTATTTTATTATGAAAATATTTTATATGCTCAGAAAAATATAGAGAATAATATAATGAATGCATATGTACTGAGCACCCAGTTTTATAAAATATTAACATTTTGATGTGTGTGTTTCAGATTAAAAAAAATAAACACAACATCTTCACTGGACTGTAAGTTCAGGGTGTTTGCTGTGGGTTTACTGGTCTGTCATGCCTAGAACAGTGCCTGGCAAGTGGCAGGCTCCAAATGAACACTATATCCTTCCCTAGCAGACTCCCAGCCTCCTTCCCATCACAAACAGAAAGCTGGTGAGCTGGAAGAGGTATCATATTACTTTCAGCCAGTGATAAAAATGTGAGTTTGTACAAGTACTGCCCTCAGGGTACTTGTAGTGTCGTGATATAAAGTAGGGCAAATGAGTTTAGAGTCATCTTCTGTAGAACCCGGAACATTCTCCCCACATCTGTAGGGCTACAGAGTGACTGGTTGGAAGTAGCCATTGCAGTGAACTTTGAGAAGCAGAGATACGGCAGGGCTTTCCAGCCTGAGAGGTCAGTTTAGCCAGAGCGCAGCAGTGGGATCAGCATTTTTAGGGATTGAAAGTTGGTAGTTGAGGGTTGTCAGGATTCTGTTATTGGAGGTAGTAACAAGAGAAGAATAAAGTAGCAAGACTTTGAATGCCAGCCTGTTTAATTTATTGAGCCTCTACTACATATAATGAATAGTACTAGGCCCTTAATGGAACTAGATGAATACTAGATGGCATACTAGATGAAAAGCTGACATGACGTTCTGGAAGCAGAACATCCTGGATTGAAGTTCAGTTCCCTTGCTTCCTGGCTGTGTGACCTGGGGTAAGCCATTTAACCTCCCTGATCTTCAGTTCTGATGTTAGGTACATTCTCACTTTGGCTACTAAGAGGTTAAGAGCATGGAATTGAGTTCTTGCCTAGGCGGTTCACTGTGTTTTAGGAGGTCCTCTTGCCTGTTGAAATAGGCAGCTAAGTGAACAAGAAACCAAAGACTTTTTGGTCACAAATGCTCTGCTTGTACAAAGTGAAGTCATCTTGCCTGCCAAATCGGCTCTTCTTCCAGTATCTTGTGAGATAGACCATCATCCTGTCAGTCATCACGACAGAACTAGGGAGTCATCCACAGTTCTTCTCCTCTACTCTGTGTGCATCCAGTCACCAAAGCAAGTTTACTTTCCTTCTTCATTGTCTCTTGGAGGAGACCTGGTGGCACAGTGGTTAAAGTGATCGGCCGCTTACCAAAACGTTGGCACTTCGAACTCATCAGCCATTCTGCTGGAGGAAGATGTGGTAGTCTGCTTCTGTAAAGATTTACAGCCTTGTAAACCCTATGGGGCAGTTCTACTCTGTCCTGTAGGGTTGCTGTGAGTCAGAATCATCTCATTGGCAGTGGGTTTGGTTTCATTGAGTTTATTATCTCTTGTACTCATCAACTTCTGTCCATGTTCTGAAGCCCTCATTGCTTCCTGCCTTGATTTATCTACTTGCTGTCCTTTCTTCATTCCATTCTCTCAACTGCTGGTCACAGTCTTCTTTCTAAACTGCAAGAGTGATCGTGTTAGGCCCTGTTCAAAATGTGTCCAGAGTTCCCATTGCCCATAGGAGAAAGCCTGAGCTTCTTGGTTTAACACGCGCGTCTCTAGCGTTTGTCCCTTGTCATGCCCTCTCATCTACCCTACCCTTCAGCTCCTTGGAACCCCTTGCCTTATGGTTCCTTACTTCCATGATTTGTGTCCATTTAGAATGCCTTCCTCCTGCTTCACTCATCTTTCTAGACTTGGCTCATCCTCCTCTCTGAGGATATCCACAATCTACTCACCATCAGGGTTAGATGTTTTCCCAGTGCCTGGCTCAGTCATTCCACCCATCACTGGATTACCATTGGTTACTTAGCTGTTCCCAGAGTGAAAGTGCTTGGGAGCATGGCCTGGTTTATTTTAAAAATCTCATTTTTCTTAGTGCCTAGCATGGTGTCCGACACATAGGAAGCTTTCAAAAACGATAAAGTAATTTTTTATCCATTTATATTCTGCTTATCTTCATGTAGCCACAAGAACTGGAGCTGGGCAGCAGAAGCATTCTCTCTCACCACCTTTCTGCTTCCATCAATTCTGGCATCTGCTCAGCAGGCCAGCTGTGAAGGAAGAGAAGCATATGGCTGACTTGAAAGCAGCTGTCGGGATGTGATTGCATGGGTTTGAAGTATATACGCTTTTTCCCCTATACAGGATAACACCTTGCATTTGTCCTTTTATTTGTATTCTCCTTAAGTGCTTTTCACTGACATGATCTCATCTGGCGAGTGTCACAAGTAGCCTGCTTGCCAGATAGGAAGCACATGATTATCCCCATTTTACAGATGCAGAAAGGAAGATAAGCAGCAGTAAAGAAATTTGCCCTAAGTTACTGAGTTGTCAGTGGTAGAAAAGACAAGATCAGACTCTTATAAAGTTGAAGTCTCCTGCTGTTCCTCCTCCACCGATCTCTTTCATAATCCATCAAACCAGGTATTATCAAATTGACGTCTTCATATTTAATCATCCAAAAGGAAAATGGGTAAAAGTAATTGTATTGAAAAAGTTTTTCATGTGCTAACTTTGCTTTCGGGTGTGCTTTTTAATTGTTAATTTCCCTAATCCTCCTTCAGTTCTGGTTAAGGGCTTAGGGTGGTATGTCTCACTGGATTCATGTGGCTGGAATAACTGACGCCCATTAAGTGGTGTTCTGAGGCCCATCCTGGACAGGGATGAAGGATTTGTCACGTTTCAGTTGGTCAGTGTGGGAGTATTATTGACTTCATGCTGTTTCTTGCTTCAAAAGCTAATAAGATGACAGTAAAATCTTAGTCCTTCTTAAATTGTATTTTTTCCGTTCTGTGATCCTTTAAAAATGAAGTGGTTTCTTCCTTTCTAGAATTCTGGAGACTTTGCATAAGCTTATATAGGTCAAGAAAATGGCTCCCCAGCACTCAACTATCATAATCTTAATTTCCAGGAATTTCTAAATTCTGAAAATCGCAGCCTCTGAAGTGAGGTGTTGCAGGAATACTGCGCCTACATGTTTTATTAAATTCTGTGACCCTAACAGCAAAAATGAAGGCACAGTGAGACAGCAGATGCAAGGGCAAAGACAATTAGGACACATCCAAGATATTCAGACAGCATACAAATTTTGGATGGCAGCTTTTTTGTTACTTTTTTTTATTTTGGCGATCGCTTTCTCTGTTGGTCTTGGAAATCTGTATAGTTTTTGTTGTTTTATCAGTCCTCATTCTTCTTGACTGTTTCAGCATTTGATTCTTGAATTACACTCACCCTTTCTACCCCCATGAAACCCCTCTTCTCTTGGCGTCCATTACATGATGTGGTGTTGTAGGTCTCCTCCTATCTTTTCTTTGCTGTTGGCTACTTCCATCACTATTACTCTACCACCCACACACGTAAATTGTTTTTACTTTATTTTGTTCCTTGATGGCATTTGTGTGGATGTATAGTATTTTTCCACATGGACCTTTTTACTTACTTGTCCTGCTATCCTCCCAGACTCAATAGTTAAAAAACAAATCGACCTTAGAATGTTTTAGCGGGAAAAGGTCTTCAAGATCATTTACTTCTTTGCTCTCATTTTAGTGTTAGGTAAATGACGGTTCATGGAGACCATGTGGCTTGCATAATTTCACACAGTCACTACTTGGTGAAATCAAGCTAGAAGCCAAGGTTCTTGACCCCAGTCCCACCTCTCAGTGTCTCTTTGTTGACTTTTCCTCACGTACCTACTCCTGATGGTCTCCTGTACCATTATCGTTCCCTTGGCAAGGAACTTGAGGTGTTTGACCTTCACCTGTCATCCCCTTCCCCACCAACCAAATGTCAAATATTCAGTCATTCACCAAGACCTACCAGTTCTTCTATGATTTTTAAATTTTATATTTTAATAATATTTTCAATTTAGATGAGTAAAATTCACTTTTTTTGGGTATATAGTTCTGTGACTGTTAACACATGTATTGATTCATGTAATGACCACTACAAACACGATACCAAACAATTCTATCTCCCTTTAAAATTTCCTGGTGCTTCCTCTTTATAGTCAAACCCTCCCCCTGCCCCTAACTCCTGGCAACACTGATCTGTTTTCTGTTTTTATAGTTTTTGCCTTTTCCAGAATGTCATATAAATGGAATTATACAGATTGTTACCTTTTGACACTAGCTGCTTTAACTCAGGGCATCTAAGATTCTTCTATGTTCTTGCATGTATCAATAATTTATTCCTTTTAATACTAAATCATTCCACTGTACAGATGTACCGCAGTTTGTTTACCCATCTACCCATTGAATTCTCACCAGCAAAGCATGAGAGTACTCTAGTTGCTCCAAATCCTTGTCAGCATTTGGTGTTGTCAATTTTTTAAATTTAGCCATTCTAGTAGGTATACGGTAGTATCTCATTGTGGTTTTATTTTGCATTTCCCTGATGACTTTTTTATGCGCTTATTTGCCATTCATATATTGTCTGTCCACTATGATATTTTTATATGTATTTCTTATATCATAACCCTATTCCAGGTGGTTATCATGCCTAGCTTTTTATATTAACATTGTTGGCTATCTACTATAACATATTTGCATATTCCAAAGGTCAGGACACTGAGCTAGGCAGCTTATATATAATCTGGTTTTATGCTTACAAAATCCTTGTGAGATAAGTAGTGTTTTACATTTTTATGGTGGATAAACAAAGTCCTCATATTCAAAAATATGTATTGAGTACCTAGCATATGCTATGAGCCAGTTATAATACCCATTTACTAGTTCTCTGACTTCGAGCAAGTAATTTAGCCTCTTATGAGTTAATTTCTGTATTTGTTAACTGGGGATCTGTATTACAATATTTCTTACCTTGTAGAGAC